GGCCTGTGGTGCTGGGGGATTGAACCGCGGTCCCTGTGCTTTGCTAAGTTTGTTCTAAGTAGGTGCTTTAGACCACTGAGCCATCTCACCAGCCCTAGTTTTCTTTTCTTTTCTTTTTTTTTTTTTTTTTTTTTGAGTTTTTTTTATGCATCAATTGAGCTGATCATTTTTTTTTTTTTTTTGGTGGCCAGCTCAGCCTACCCTGGAGGTGGGGCTGGCACAGCATATGGTGCTAGGGATCAAACTGCAGTTCCTGTGCTTTGCCTAAATCTGCCTAAGCAAGCACTTTAGACTGCTGAGTTATCTTACTGGCCCTATATTCTAGTTTTCTGAGCTTTGACAAGAATCTCCCATTAAGGCTTCTTTAGTTTGCATCTCCAAATCTTTCTGTGCTCCTCCCGTGAGTTAGTTCAGAGGCTTCTAAACCACTTGGTGAGGTCGTCACTGCAACAACCCCATTCCTGGTACCAATTTTCTGTCTTAGTTCAATTGCCCATTGCTGGGACAAACTGCCTGACACCTGCACCTTCAAGGAGGCTAGGTGTAATTTGGTTCATGGTTTCAGTCTTGCTTGCTGCAAGGCAGAAACAGTACAGTGGAAGGGTGGAAGGGCCTGGCAGAGCTAAGCTGCTCCTGGGAACCAGGAAGCAGAGGGAAGGGAGGAGCTGAGGACTTCTGGGTCACACTCCTAATCGCCTACCGCTTGTCACCAGGCTCCAGTTCCTAATAGCATATTTAGCTATGAACTCACCAATACTTGATTCTTTGAGCACAGGAGGATTTGGGTGGCCATGGTAGATTGAAAGCATCACACGGTGTCTCTCCCATGAGCATGCTGGGCTGGGCGGTAAGCATGTGCAGCCAAGACATGATGGAAAGCCAACCGGGGAACCCTCAGCCGGAGGGTGCCGGGTGGAGGATGGGAGCACTCCAGTTCCCAGCAGCAGGGCATGTTCCAGCAGGACTGGGTACGTTTTCCTTAATATCTGTGTGCTTTATTGTCTTTTTTTTCCCTTTACTGTCTTTCTTCCCTTTCTTGTCTCACATCTCCCATGCCATTTCTTAAGATCTTCTTCCAAAGCAACTGCACTAAATCCTTGTCTCTGGCTCTGTTTTGGGGGGAATAAGACACCAGACACTAACTATATGATTGACTTTTTTTTTTTTTTTTTCAGAACCAGGGATTGAACTCAGGGCCTTGCGCTTGCCTGGGAATCACTTATTCCACTGGGCCATCTCCCCGGCCCCATGATTGACATTATTATTATTAAT